CCAGGGGTCGAACCCAGATTGCCCACATTGCAGGCAGATTCTTTACTGCTTGAGCCAGCAGAGAAGCCCATGTGCGCGTGTATCGGTAATATATACACGTTACTATGATTGTGTCTCCATCACAAACCCTAATAAGAAAGGACAAACTCCAGAGCACCTTTTGTTGAGGCTTTCAGTTATGCTGGGCTTCCCTTGTGGCTCCACTGGTAAAGAAGCCGTCTGCAACGCGGGAGACCTGGGGTTCAGTCCCTGGGTTGGGAAGATCCCCTGGAGAAGGGAAAGGCTCCCCACTCCAGTATTCTGGCCTGGAGAATTCCGTGGACTCTATAGTCCATGAGGTCACAAAGAGTTGGACACGACTGAGTGACTTTCACTTCAGCTATGTTATGGGAGAAATAGGTGAAGTCTTTAACATTTAATCTATTGTTAGAAAATGGGGAAAGGAAAAATCACTGTCTATTCAATTATCTTTTTTCTGCTTTAAAACTGAATGAGAGATTCTGTGACAGATTTGAAGAGGAAACTAAAACAGAGTAGAGAGCTTTTTTTTTTTTCCTGTATCTTAATCCTTAAATGGAATTTAGCTCTTATTTATTATTTGTATTGTCTTTGCTTTGGTTTTGATAAGGAGATTGTTTTGCATTCAATTAGTAAGTGCAGTAAGAAAAGCTTTTAAAAGATACATTGTTCTAGGTGTCTGCTCCATATCCATGTCTCTGGTTTTTGTTTTTTGTGTGTTTTTTTGTCCTCCCTCCCCGGTCGGGAAGACCCCCTGGAGAAGGAAGTGGCAACCCACTCTGGTACTCTTGCCTGGGAAATCCCAAGAACGGAGGAGTGTGGTAGGCTACAGTCCATGCGGTCGCAAAGAGTTGGATATGACGGAGCAACTTCACTTTCACTTTACGTGAACCCTCAAGAAGTTAGGGTTAGGAGAACAAAATATTTGTACCCTACCTAAATGGTTGAGTGTTTCCTGTGAGGTTCTGGGTGTTCCTCTTTACAACCCACATTTGATCTTCAAAGGCACTGGCAGTTTGAAGAAACAGGATGTAGCTGTTTGGAAATAAATCCACCTTATGATGTCTCTGCAAGTAGGAGCTCTGCACCAGAGAAACTCACTGGTGCTCGGCATGGCCCAGGGACAGGGGAGCCCATGTCTAATCACTGAGGGAGCTCTGTCTGGGTTGTGTAGTCTTGTGCACGTTCCATCATCTTTGCTAAGCCCAGAAGCCATGTTGTGTTTGTTTTCCAGAAATTTCATAACTTTACACAGGTTTTCAGTATACATTTTAAAATGTTTCAGTTTGAATTAGGTATTTTAATTTTCTTGGAGTTAAGTATTTTAGTTTTAATCTGATTTACAGTTGATTCAGATTGCAGCATTGGCAGGGTTGAGCTCTGACTTGCGATTGAGGTGACACAAATATCAAAAGTATGTCCAGGGGTTTAATTTAGACTCATCATGTTCAGAACACTGTATCTAGAAGTATTTATATGCTAACTGCCTGAGAGACTGTGGTAGGGTCCCTAGCTGGCTGACTGGCTCTGCTAAGATCTGTAATATGACAGTCTGACTGTTTTCTAATTGTACTGGTTGACACTGTATGCATGTTACTGTAATTCTCTATTGCACATGTCCTACAAAGGAAGGAAGTTTCTTCAGGGGGAAGTTCTGTACACTATGATTTTCAGTAGACATTTTCTTTTAGAGTAGCAGCCAAACTCTAATCATTTTATAGAAAGTGAATGTTGAACATCACTTGTAAGGTATTTCTTAAACTGAGCTAAGGAGGTGTGAGCTCAAAGCCTGATATCACTGCCTTTGCTGAAGTCATCCTATCCATCCCCCCATTTCTAGGCAGGATCTCACTTTCTGAACTTCCTGTATCCTCGGCCTCCTTGTGATGGGCTGTAGCATTCCATTGGATAATGCTGCTGTTTTTAGTCTGCCATCCACTTGGCTCTAAATCATAATCTAATTAATAAAAATGTAAAGGAAATTTTGGCAAAACTATTTTTTCAGTAAGCCTTTCACTGGGGACCCATGACTCATTGATCTTTGTACATGAATTGTTTGTGTGTATATGTATTTTTCTTGTGTAACAAGAAGTAACAAGATCAATTCATTCTGATATGGTGGTAGTTTTCCTGTGGCAAAAGCAAAGGCGTGGTCACCAGCTGCGCCCTCTGGAGGGGCTGGGAATGGGCTGAGCGCGCCTGGGTTACGATGCTCACTGGGTTATCGGCCTGGAACGGACTGAATTGGGAACCTCACCCAGTAGAGCTGCCCTCCGGGTTTCCCAGGCAGAGCTCTGTTGAAAGAAGGAATGTAAACCCTTGGCAGCATTCTAATTTAATCTGGTGACATTGATGTTAAAATATGGCACTCAGATCCTCAGGTATATAAATGTATTTGAAATGTGTTTTTGTGTGTGTGTGTGTGTGTAGAATGGGTAAATAAAATTGTTGAGTAACTTGAATCTCTCAGAAGCCTTCTGGGTTTTTTGTTTTGTATTTTGGGNCGCCCTCCTGATGGTGTGGAGGCTGAGGCCAGACGGCTCCCGGAGACTGGGGTCTGCTGAAGACCTGGGCGTGTCAGCTCCGCTGGGGCTGGAGCAGGAAGCTCCGTGGGGCGTGGACATTCGGGGCCGCGCGAGTGAGCCTGGAAAAGGTGCCCCGCATTTCTTCCCTCATGCCTAATGGAAACGTCAGTCACCCTGAAAGGCTCGGCCTCCCTGTGCCTGCAAACATTTCACAGCCTGAGCTGATGTGTTTTGATCATCTCTCTGCTGGGTTTGGCCCATGTTGGCCAGTCCTGTTCTGTTTCAGCAATTTAACATCTGACCAGTGACTGTCCCCGTGGCTGGATATTCTTTGCCTAATGTACAGATGCAGTGCTTCAGATTTAGTTGTTTCCACGAGAGAGGGCTGACCCGCACACCTTTTCTGTGCTGTAAGAGCTGGGCTCTGCATCCATTCCAGGTGCACAGGCTAGAGTGTAATAGGTCGCTTATTCCGTCACATCGGAAGCAAGAGGCAAATTCACCAGGCGGATGGAGGGTATCTGAGAAATCTAGTCCCCGAAAGGTCTCTTCTGTGGCGATGGAAGAGCAGCATCAGGAGCCACCTTTTCATCTAGAGAAATTGTTCTCGTTCCAGGCCCCTTGAGGGCAGGATCTGACTGCAAGACTCCCTGAAGTGGGTGCCCTTCTTCTGAGTTCTGTTCTGGAGCAGCTGTGCTCTCTACCGATAACTGATAACTGTGTGCCTCTCAAAGTTTAAGAGGGCTGATGTCATCTCTTTGGTGGTTGGGAATGCGGGATGGAGAGAAAAGTAGGGTGCCATTTGGATCACCTGAAGTAAATGAAGTTTCCTTGGGCATCACCTCTCCCAGGGAGTTGCTTCGGTGTCGAGACAGGTGCAGGGAGACCTGCCCTTTAGTGAGGTCTGCTGCCGTGATACAGTAGCTAAGAAAGCTGTGGCTGTGACTTCAAGAGCATCTGGCCTTCTAATCCCTTCCTCTTGGCTAGTTGTCACCATTGTAGTCTGCTGGTCTCTCATGTAGAACCTTGGTTGCCCAATTCCCCACCTCAGTGCATTAATCGTGTGGATTCCCTTGAAGATCAACCAAGTAATTATTCCCTAGATCAGTGATTGTCAGATGTACAAATATGTCTCTGTAGATGAGATTTTAATCTGCCGCTGTTCCTGAAAGAGGATATGGAAGTTCCCAAAGGATACTATATCATACAAGCAAAATTTTTTTTTTTTTTGTAAGAATAGTAGGTTTCTAGCTTTTAAAACTTTTCCCCCCTTTTCATTCAGATGGCCCACTTGCTGTGCAAGAGGGTGAGTAGCAAGAAAAGTAATGCAATACAGCTTTTCCCAAATGGTTCTTTAATACTGTGGATGATACAGGGCTCTGTTATCTTAAGATGTGATGCGCTGGGCTGCTGGCAGTTCAGCAACCAGCAACTAGGACCTTATTTTAATGCACAAGGCTGCCTTCAGAAAGGTCTCCAGACTCTGCTCTGTAGCAGGTAATTTTTATCTGTCTGCTCATAGCATGTTGTACTGTAATGATTTTGTTCTGTGATGCAGATTTCTTTCTGCATCTAAATATATTGTCTTTTGATGATCTGATAATGTTATTTAGTTATTTATTCATCCACATAAGGTATTTTAAATCCCTATATTAATGTCTGCTTGTATGTACCATTATTGTGTTCAGTTTTGTTTTTTTTTTTGGTAGAAATTTAGGTAGTTTTGAGTATTTAAGTTTAATGTCCATAGTATTACCTTAAATTAAAATTTCAGAATGTAGTGTCTGTCTTCTGGTAAAGGATAATAAATATGTTAAGGCACAGTGGGTTTCTTTTGAATACTTTTTTTTCATTGATTTTTATTATAAGTATAAACCAAGAGATGCATTTCTCTGGAGAAAAGCTTATCTCCTGGATAAATAAAATCATGCTAAAATTTTTGAGTAATATGTATTGCTTTCGTAATAAGAAATATAATAATTTATAATTAAAAAATAAAGCTAAGTTTTAAAATCACACACAGAGCAGGATAATATAGGGTACATAATACATACACAAAATAGTAATATCTTGCAAGATGTATTTGAAGCTAGCTTCTTTAAAACTATTCTCAAATTATTATACTGTGTATATATTTCCAATTGGTTTTAACTGGCAACTCATTTGTCAAGTTCCATTAGCATTTCAAAATGATAGTGGGATCATTACTGCCATGCATTATCAACATTCTAGAGCTTTATTTATTAACTTTATGTAATGATTACCTTTGAATTGCCATACTATGTCTAAAAGAAAGTCTCTGTCCACTTTCTAGAGTTTATTATTGGAAAGGAAACAGTTAACAGCAGGTCTGTAATCTATACCTTCTTGCTGGGAATGCATTCCCCCTTATTAATGACCTTGACCAAGGCTATTTTTACATAATAGTTATATTTATGATAGCAAATATTAATGATAAAGGAACTTGGAACACTCTCTAGGGCCGTTAGCAATGATACAAATCAAAACTTTAATAATAACAGTAAAACAATGATAAATTCTATAAACCCAAGAGCTCTGATAGCATTAAAATTGCTTACGAATTCTCCCAGTTTGAAATTGAGAGAAAGTGCTAAACATATATAGCTTTAGCAGTATATCTGGAGGAGAAACAATGACAAGTGTCAAGGGTGTACTTTCCTTGGGAAACTCCAGGCCCTTTTGTGCTAGTGTTGGTCGCTCAGTCGTGTCCGACTCTTTGTGACCCCATGGACTGTGGCCCGGCAGTCTCCTCTGTGCATGGGATTTCCCAAGCAAGGATACTGCAGTGGGTTGCCATTTCCTTCTCCAGCAGATCTTCCAGACCCAGGGGTCGAACCCACATCTCCTGCGTTGCAGGTGGATTCTTTGAGCCAGGGAAGCTCTTTTGTAAGTGTCTCTTACTCAGCAATCATGTCATTGTGAAGGGCTGGCAGTGTCCGTGATCATTCTCGTTTTACAAACAGGTGAATGAACTCCCTTACTGAGTGGCTCACCTCAATGCTGGTGGAGTTTTTGTCAAATTACAAGATTTGTGATGTTGAGGGCCCAATAAACACATAACATACTACTTTTTAAAATAGGTAGAAACGTCAAAGATTATCAGGATAAGAAAATGACTGATTGTAGAGTACTCCAGGTGTTGGGTAATGGTCATTGTTCGCTTTATTTCTGCAGCTGTAATGATTACATGTTTTGAATCTCTCCAGATCTTCGCTGGGGACTCACCATGAGGAGGGGCAGCGTTTGGTTCACTAGCTTCTCCTTGTTGATGATGACCCTACTGGCACAACAACCTACAGTCATTGTCTAGATCATCTGACAACTTGATGGAAGCTAAGGAGTCTCTCCCCAGAAAAAGGTTCACACACATAAGTTGTTCATACTGTTTGGGGGGGTGGTCATGACCTCCCAAAACCTATTCTTGGACCTCAGAGTAGGAAAGTAGGAAGTAGACGATAATTTCCACACATACTCATAACCCCATTTTCCTTTCTTTGACATTAAAAAAAAGAGACATCTATTTGATATTAACTCATTTAAGCAGAGAACGGGAATATATGAAATTCTGAAATGCTAACTTTTTAAAAAAACTGACCTTTGTGGAATTTGAATAGATTGTAATAAGATAACATTGCTGTTCATGGAAAGTAATATCTTCTTTTTCTTAAAAACTTCAAGAAACAAAGTCTTCTTTTATTTTCATTAAGCCAATTGCATTATGGGCAGAATAACTCCCTTCAGAACTCCCTTCTGAGTTCCCAAAGACACTTAAGTACCCTTTTTGGTTGTCTATGTGATACCTCACATTTGGAAACTAGGTTATATTCTATAGGTGAGTTTCTCCTTGCAATTAAGTGAAATAATTTCAGAAGCATAGGTACCCTTGGAAAGAGCATTCCAGATCTAATGGGGCCTTGCCTCAAAAAGTGTAATGCCCTTCACCAAGCACCTAACCCGCTTTCAGGGAATAGCTTGTTTATCCATTTGGGTTTTCTTCATTAGTAATCCACTTATTTTATTGTTTTTCATTTCTTTTTTTCCTTAATAGATATACTTTTATTGAAGTATAGTTGACTTACAGTGTTTCAGGTGGACAGCAAGGTATTCAGTTGTACATGTATGTACACGTATTATTTTTCAGATTATTTTCTGTGATAGGTTATTACAAAATATTGACTGTAGTTCCCTGTGCTATACAGTAATTCTTTGTTGCTTCTTGTGTACTAGTTTTTTTAAATTATAAATCTGGCATTCTATTCATCCTAAGTCAAACAAGTAGAATCAAAATGTCATAAATTTTTTAGCTAGGAAACAATTCAGATGTTTTCTAAAATATATATATTACACATACTATTTATATAAATGTGTACAAATGTTTTTCTATTATGCTTGATAAAGGCTTGAGAAAGAAGAGATGGAGAAATTGGAAAACTAAATGAAATGGGAACACTGAATATGAAAGAGAAAAAGTGAAACAAACTAGGTAAAAGATCATCATATAGTCCAGTTTTTAAACATGGCTGCTCATTAGAAACACATCTGAAGCTTTGGAGAAAAAAATCAATACCTAGGCATTTGTAGTTTACAAAAAATTCCAACATAATTCTGATACGCATCTGGATTTTAAAAAGTGATTATAGGTTTTTCTATTAAATGGTTCTTTGATGATAGAATTTTATTATTTTCTGTTGCAACCATGATACAATGGTATTAAATGAATAATAATTACATAATCACAATAGTGTGTTTATCAGTTTTCACAATCAACAGCCAGACCAAAAAAAAAAAAAAGATAATCACAAGCCACAATGGAAACATGATTAACAATGTAAAATAATTACATACAGTTTGGGGAGTTGAGCAGAGTGGTGTGCTAAGTGGAAGTGCACACATGCACATGTTTTCATCCACCCCGTCAGTCTGTGTCCTGTGGTTGGGGCATTTAATCCATACACATTTAAGGTAATTATTGTTACGTATAGTCCTATTACCATTTTCTTAGTTGTTTTGAGTTTATTTTGTGCAGGTCTTTTCCTTCTTTTGTGCTTTCTGCCTCGAGAAGTTTCTTTAGCATTTGTTGTAAAGCTGGTTTGATGGTGCTGAAATCACCATTTTCAGCTTATATCTCTTGAAATACATTCTCGAGTCCTCTCTTTCTTCTCCTTCTGGGACACTTATAATGCAAATGTTGGTGTGTTTAATGTTGTCCCAGAGGTCTCCTATGTTGTTTTCATTATTTTCCATTCTTTTTTCTGTATTCTGTTCTGCAGCTGTGATTTCCACCATTCTGTCCTCCAGGTCACTTATCTGTTCTTTTGCCTCGGTTATTCTGCTATTGATTCCTTCTAGTGTATTATTCATCTCTGTTTGTTCTTTAGTTCTTCTAGGTCTTTGGTAAACACTTCTGCACCTTTCCATTCTGTTTCTGAGCTCCTGGGTCATCTTCACTATCATTATTCTGAATTTTTTTTCTAGAAGGTTGCACATCTCCAGTTCATTTAGTTGTTTTTCTGGGGCTTTATCTTGTGCCATCATCTAGGGGCATAACTCTCTGCTTTTTCATCCTGATTAATTTTCTGTAATGTGGTTTTTATTCCAACCATTGTGGGATTATGGTTCTTCTTGCTTCTTTTGTCTGCTCTCTGGTGGATGAGGCTAAGAGGCTTGTGTACCTTCCTGATGGGAGAGACTGTGAGAAAAGCTGGGTCTTGTTTTGATGGTCAGGGCCTTGCTCAGTAAAGCTTTAATCCAATTACCTGCTAATGGGTGGGGTTGTGCTCCCTCCCTGTTAATTGTTTGGCCTGAGGCAACCCAGCCCTGGGGTCTCCTGGGCCATGTGGTAGGGCTAATGGTGACCTCCAAGAGGATTTACACCAAGGGGCATCTTCCAGGACTGCTGCCGCCAGTGACCACGTCCCTGAGGTGAGACCCCGCTTGACCCTCAGCTCCACAGGAGACCCTCCAGCACTATCAGGTAGATCTTGTTCAATCTCCTGGGGTGCGGGGGTGGGTGGGTGTGGTCACTGCTCCTGTCCCCTGGGTCTTAGTGTGTGCAGGATTTTGTTTGTGCCCTCCAAGAGTAAAGTCTCTGTTTCTCCCAGTCCTATGGACGCCCTATGATCAAATCCTGCTGGCCTTCAAGATCAGATTCCCTGGGGATTCCCAGTCCCTTTGCTGGAGTCCCAGGCTGGAAGCCTGATGTGGGGCTTAAAACCTTCACAACAGTGGGACAACTTCTTTGGTATTATTGTTCTCCAGTTTGTGGGTTGCCCACCAGTGGGTATGGGATTTGATTTTATCATGATTGCACCACTTCTAATGTCTTGTTGCAGTTTCTTCTTTGACTTTGGGTGTGGTGTGTCTTTCTTTGGTGGGTTCTAGCATCCTCCTGTCAATGGTTGTTTAATAGCTAGTTGCAACTTTTGTTCTCTCGCAGGAGAAGATGAGCACATATCCTTCTACCCCACCATCTTGAACTGGAAGCCACTTACCTTATTGTTTACAATCAGTTTTCACTTCATAGGTTTTTTCTTTCACCCATTGCCTTTTTAGAATTTATGCATGGGATAGAAAACAGTCTCTGGGAACAATTTGGTGGTGGTGATTTAGTCACTAAGCTGTGTCCAACTCTGGCAAACCCTTAGAGCCTGCCAGGCTTCTCTGTCCATGAGGTTTCCCAGGCAAGAATACTAGAGTGGATTGCCATTCTCTTCTGCAGAGGATCTTCCCAACCTAGGGATAGAACCCACATCTGCATTGCAGGCAGATTATTTACCAACTCAGCTACCAGGGAAACCCTGGGCACAATTTAGTAAAGTTTATTATAATTTTTTTTTCCTCCAAATTTAAATTCTAGGTCATTTCACTCAAATACCAGTTGACCCTTATTTTCTTGTATTCATCAGTATTTCAGATGAATATTTCAGTTGGTTTTAACTGAAGGTGTCACCAAATCCAAAATAATAGCACCTTACAAATGCAGAAGGTTTACTCCCACCTCCAGTGTCCTGGATTCTATCTCATAGTACAGTATAGCTACTCAGACTGCCAGAATCATGTCTACATTCAGATTAGCAAAAAGGGAGCATAACTCCCTCTCATAGCTCATGGCTATATGTGATTGCAAGTAGAGTGAATTGTATTTTTTTTTTAAATTTCATGTGACCTTATGTCAGCTCTAAGTGGGTCTAATTACTAAAGAAGAAAGACGGAATAGATTTTAGGAATGAATAACAATCTGCTTTGGGCTTCCTTGGTGGCTCAGTCGGTAAAGAATCTGCCTGCAATGAGGGAGACCTGGGTTCTGTGTCTGGGTTGTGAAGATCCCCTGGAAGAGGGCATGGCAACCCACTCCACTATTCTTGCCTGGAGGATCCCCAAGGACAGAGGAGCCTGTGGTCCATGGGGTTGCAAAGAGTCAGACATGGCTGAGCCACTAAGCACAGCAATCTGCTTCAGTAGGTAACAGGGACTTTGTAGCACATCTGAAGGGATAAAACAAGGTGAACAGTAGTCTCTGAAGACATACTGCCATCACTAAAGGCACACTATTTGTCATTCATCGAGTTTGATCCTGCCGCAGTGCATATCTGTCATGACTCACAAACAAAGCTTATTCAACAGTGTTTCATGAACTGTTGGATTTTTAAAAATTTATGTATTTTATTCTCATATCATTTACATAAAGGATGCTTTACTGACCCAGCTTTTTCTTGGAGAGACTTTCAAAAGGTATCAGCTCAATAAACAAAAAATAATTTGAAGCAATTTAGACATTTTCTGAATTGTCTTGACAAAGACCAAAGGGAATCCATTCATAACATAGTGTAGAAAAAAAATCTTTTCCCAGTTCTCTTAAAATCTCTCTCACTCACACACACACCCATAGGGTGTGTTCCTCTTGTTTAGCTTCCCACAACTCTTCCCACAGCCTAGGCACTGAGGACTTTTGTTTTTCTACACCTCGACCCATACCTCCTAATCTCTTCCATTAATTATTGGCCACTGTCTATTTGTAAATTAATCAAACCAGTATGAGTACAACTTCTGCACCTGATTTATTACTCCAGTTCTCCAGAAAACAATCTGGATTAGATCAAATTATTCAACAGTCTAGAAGAGTCTGTTAATGCTCATTTATTAGTTTATTCAAACTTGGACTCTCATCATAAAACATGTAATCCTTTATATAGAATTACAATATTCAATATGCTTTGACAAGTTTTTTTTTTTTTTAACTTATTGATCATAAAACCTGACCTGAACTTTGTGAGGATATTTAGTCTCTACATATCCTACTTAGTGTAAATACTTTTACATTTCATGGAGAAATATTAGGAAGACAATATTATAAGCAATATAGTACCTTTCTAAAGTCTTAATCATTCTGAATCTGAAATAAGCCATTGAGATGAAGATTTATTTGCAATTATTTCCTTAATAATATTCTATTTTATACCCATGCTTTTGTAGCAAAACTTTTACACTTCTGAAACTCTTTCAAAAAATTGCAGAGGAAGGAACACTTCCAAATTCATTCTACGAGGCCATCATCACCCTGATACCAAAACCAGACAAAGACAACACAAAAAAGAAAACTACAGGTCAGTATCACTAATGAACATAGATGCAAAAATCCTCAACAAAATTTTAGCAAACAGAATTCAGCAACATATCAAAAAGCTCATACACCTTGATGAAGTTGGGTTTATTCCAGGGATGCAAGGATTCTTCAATATACAAAAGTCAATCAATGTGATATGCCATATTAACAAATTGAAAGATAAAAACCATATGATCATCGCAATAGATGCAGAAAAAGCTTTTGACAAAATTCAGCACCCATTTATGATGAAAACTCCTCAAAAAATGGGCATAGAAGGAACCTACCTCAACATAGTAAAGGCCATATATGATAAGCCTACAGCAAACATTATTCTCAGTGGTGAAAAACTGAAAGCATTCCCCTAAGTCAGGAACAAGACAAGGGTGTCCGCTTTCACCATTATTATTCAACATAATTCTGGAAGTCCTAGCTACAGCAATCAGATAAGAAAAAGAAATGAATCCAGATCAGAAAAGAAGTAAAACTCTCACTGTTTGCAGATGACATGATACTGTACATAGAAAACCCTAAAGATAGTATCAGAAAATTACTAGAGCTAATCAGTGAATTTAGCAAAGTTGCAGGATACAAAATCAGCACACAGAAATCACTTGCATCTCTATATACTAACAATGAAAAATCAGAAAGAGCAATTAAGGAATCAATCCCATTCACCATTGCAACCAAAAGAATTAAATATCTAGGAATAAACATACCTAAGGAGATGAAAGAAATGTACACAGAAAGTTATAAGACACTAATAAAAGAAATAAAATATGACATAAACAGATATTCCATGTTCCAGGGTAGGAAGAATCAATATGGTGAAAATGACTATACTACCAAATGCAATCTACAGATTCAATGTAATCCCTATCAAATTACCAATGGCATTTTTCACAGAACTAGAACAAAAAATTTCACAATTCATATGGAAATATAAAAGGCCACTATTAGCGAAAGCAGTCTTGAGAAAGAAGAATGGAGCTGGAGGAATCAACCTTCCTGACTTCATATACTACAAAGCTACAGTCATCAAAATGGTATGGTACTGGCACAAAAACAGAAGCAAAGACCAATGGAACAAGACAGAAAGCCCAGAAATAAACCCATGCACCTATGGGTACTTTATTTTTAACAAAAGAGGCAAGAATATACAATGGGGCCAAGACGGCCTCTTCAATAAATGGTGCTGGGAAAACTGGGCAGCTACATGTAAAAGAATGAAATTAGAACACTGCCTAACACCATACACAAAGATGAACTCAAAATGGATTAAGGACCTAAATGTAAGATCAGAAACTATAAAACTCTTAGAGGAAAACATAGGCAGAACACTTGATGATGTAAAGCAAGATCCTCTATGACCCACCTCCTAGAGTAATGGAAATAAAAACAAAAATAAATAAGTGGGACCTGATTAAACTTAAAAGCTTTTGCACAGCAAAGGAAACTATAAGCAAGGTGAAAAGACAACCCTCAGAATGGGAAAAAATAATAGCAAATGAAGCAACTGACAAAGGATTAAGTTCCAAAATATATAAGCAGCTCATACAACTCAATACTAGAAAAACAAACAACCCAATCAAAAAGTGGGGGAAAGACCTAAACAGACATTTCTCCAAAGAAGACATACAGATGGCTAACAAACACATGAAAAGATGTTCAACACCACTCATTATTAGAGAAATGCAAATCAAAACTACAATGAGATATTTCACCTCACATCGGTCAGAATGGCCATCATCAAAAAGTCTACAAACCATAAATGCTGGAGAGGGTGTGGAGAAAAATGAATGCTCTTGCACTGTTGGTGGGAATGTAAATTGATACAGCCACTATGGAAGATGGTATGGAGATCCCTTAAGAAACTAGGAATAAAATCACCATATGACCCAGTAATCCCACTCCTAGGCATATGCCCTGAGGAAACCAAAATTGAAAGACACATGTATCCCATTGTTCATTTCAGCACTATTTACAATAGCTAGAACATGGAAGCAACCTAGATGAATCAACAGATGAATGGATAAAGAAGTTGTAGTACATATACACAATGGAATATTACTCAGCCATAAAAAGAAACACATTTGAGTCAGAGGTGGATGAACCTAGAACCTATTTTACAGTGTGAAGTTTGTAAGAAAGAGAAAGAGAAATTCTGTATTCTAACACATATATACGGAATCTAGAAAAATGGTACTGAAGAATTTATTTACAGGGCAGCAGTGGAGAAACAGACATAGAGAATAGACTTATGGACATGGGGAGAGGGGAGGAGAGGGTGAGATTTATGGAGAGAGTAACATGGAAACTTACATTACCATATGTACAATAGATAGCCAGTGGGAATTTGCTGTATGTCTCAGGAAACTCAAACAGGGACTCTGTGTCACCCTAGAGGGGTAATGGGGAGGGAGATGGGAGGGAGTTTCAAAAGGGAGGGGATATATTTATACCTATGGCTGATTTAGGTTGGGGGTTTGACGAAAACGGCAAAATTCTGTAAAGCAATTATCCTTCAATAAAAAATAATTTAAAAAATTACTGAAAACTTGGAACTAAGGAAAAAGAAATCAATGGAGACATTTTCTAATGGCTTACTTGAGTATTCTCTAGCAGACACTCTCTAGCAATTATTGATTCCATAATGTGTGTAATTTTGATTGCCTTTTTTTTAAAAAATTAGGCTTTTTAACAACTCTCTATAAGAGTAGAGTTAATTTGTAGAAAATGGATGGGAGTGAAAATGACTCCTTTCAGAGAACTATACAAGTGATTCCTGATCACAGAAAACAAATGAATTTTGTCCATTAGAGATTCAGCTAATTGCCATCAGTTAGAAAAGCTGATTTCAAATATTACAATTTGCTGCTCAGCATATTAACCAGTTTTGCCTCTAGTAGAAAAGTCATTTTAGAATGCCTTTGACTGACTGACTATATATTTCATATCTCTGTTCCTCAAATTCTTTAAATTGGTTGTAGTATCTTAATAATTTCTTCATTAATGAATCAAATAAAATCATTGACACATGTTCATTTTATAATTACATAAATGCCATGTATTAATTTTTTGAAAATTATACTTTAAAAGATGCTTGCAGTATAAGGTCTCACATATTAGTTGACCAAAGATATGGAAACACCATACAAGCTGATTATCATATAATCAATGATAAGCTATCAGTATGGATTCGAGGAGCTGTGGTAAGAGTTTCTGGGTGACTGTTCTTTTTATTTACCTTGCGTTGCTTTTACTTCATTTAGCAGCTGATTCTACTTTGCATTAAGCAATGCAGAGGAAGGGATTGCAAACACAGATGAGGCACCACTCCTGTTCTAGAGTTGTTGACAGTTGTTAAAGAGAGAAACACAGGTCCCAAATGGTGTCATCTCTGCTAATGTCCTGATGCCAAACCTAGATTTAATACTTGACCTAATTGCAATTTTGACCTTCCCCGGGAATATAATCATAATCGGACCACTCTGGAATTTTCTGGTCAGTACAATTGAGATAAACTGCAAGATTACATTCTCATCATTTCCCCAAAAGAAGGTGACCAACCCTGAAACAATTATTCCTTTTCTTTTGCTAATAACTCCCTTGCCCCACTCTCCTGTAATAAAACCCTGCATTTTGTATAGCTTCTCAGAGGGCCCTTCTGTTTACTAGATGGTGTGTTGCCTGATTCATGATTTGCTGGATAAAACCAGCTAGGTTTTGAAATTTACTCAGGTGAATTTTGTTTTTTAACAGTCTAGTGTGGGAGAAAAGCATTAATAAGTCATTAACAAAGTATGATAAAGGGTGGGGATGAGAATCACATTTGAGACTTCACTGCATCTTTATGCTTTATATTTATTATGATGTTTTATATTATTTTATTTAAACCTAAAATTTTCAGTAATTTTATCCCAGTTTTATAATTGGTGCATAGACAACCAGTTAATGGCTGTAATCATCATGAACAGGCAACCATGGGAAACCAAAAGCAAATTTACATGCTTTCATTCCTAAGACCAAAGCGTTCCCCTCATCTCTCAGTTCACTTGGTTGACTCTGGACTCAGGTCAAATCCTGCTCTGAAGAGCATGGAATGGGAAACCGGGTGCAGACCTGGCAAACAAAGACTCTGTTGTTGCTGCAGGACTCTGGAGCCCTCCTCAAGTTTGGAATCCAGCAGGACACGCTCCTTTCTGGGAAGCAACACGGTCTGGAGGCTGTCAGAGACAGGTAAGGTTAGTTGACTTCCTTGAGCTTTCGGGCTTCAGTGTTGCTTGAAGCCTTAGGACACCTGGTATTTGAGGAGGGAGGGTGGGCGGTAGCACCCAGAGTTAGGTTGTACTTGGGAAATCACCAGGAATGCACTTCTCTCGATTCCCCACCTCCACCCACGATGCTGGAGAGAGCCGCACAAGGTGGACTGCAAACACTGGCAAATATTGACAGAAGTGAAGGTCACAGTAAGACCGTTTAGCCTGAATCTGTTGAGGAATGATTGGCTTGCAGTTCAAAGGGACTGGTCAACTGGATTTGCATAAACAACATAGGCCATTTCTGAAACTGAGTTTTAAAACTAGCAATTCTTTTTATCACCTCCTTGTGTCTTTGGAAAATCTCTCCTTGTACCAGCTTCCTTACAGCTATTCTTATTTCCTATCATAGAATTTTTTTTTTCCTTCCAGGGAAGAAAAAATCAACACAACCCTGTCTCTAGGAAGGAGTGAGTGATCTGATCTTAAGTGGTGTGAGAAGACCTATTTTGATCCAAACCAGGGTCTTGGGCTGGGTTATTTCCAACCCGGGTCAAACAATTGATCATAAGATGTTTTTTTGGCTTATGTGCTATCTTGTGGATGTGTGGCCGATTTCTGCCTCAGATGGTATGTATGCTTTTCTTAAGTTCAGACTGTAAGGTGTTTTATATCAGCATGTGGATTATAAGGCATTCTGTCTAAGATTTTAATGAAATTGAAATTTATAAAACATACTTCCTTTATTGAATAATCTCCAGTTACTTGGTATTATGCTCTGTACTCAAGAGTAAATATTTAATGACCTGGTCCTAAGAAGTGAGTCATTTTTTGCTACTTCCCCTTTCTGTTTTGGAAACGAAAAATGTACCAATTTCAAAATCTTGAGGGGTCTTATTTATGATGAACTCCGGTACTACTATTTGGAAAGGGGATTGTATTTTTAGGAGTGGATAACTAATGGCTGAATTTGAGTAAAACTCTTGTTTTTCTTTTGNCCCTTCTCCAGAGGATCTTCCTGACCCAGGGATCAAACCTGGGTCTCCCGCATTGCAGGCAGATTCTTTACTGTATGAACCATCAGCTTGTACTCAGAATTAACTTAGCCAAATTAGTAGACCCAGTAACCCCTACAAGAAGGAAAGGATTTCTATGTATTAAAACTACTTTGTTTTGGGAACTTTAATTTATTTAATATCACACTGCTTTAAAATTTTTATGTTATGAAAAAATTTAAACATATACAAAAGACATAAGTATAAAATGAACTCATTTCTGGGACTTTTGAGGTCATCCAGTGTCTAAGACTCCATGCTTCCAATGCAAGGGACCTGGGTTTGATCGCTGGTGAGGGAGCTAGATTCCCCAGGCTACAACTAAGATCCAGTGCAGCCAAATAATTAATTAAATATTAGAAAAATGAACTCATATGTATTATCAACACATGACTTTATTCATCTGCAATTCTGCTTTGCTTTATTATTTTGTAGTAAATATATCATACCATTTTATTTTATCCATCATTTAATTTTTGAGTTGGAAAAATTTATGTTCTCAATTTACAAATGTGACACCTGAAATCTAAGTGATTTGTTTAGGTTCATAAAACTCCCTTGTGATGTCTATAAAAATGGAGAATAACTAGTCCATATTCTCTTCATTAATACTGTTTTTAGGAAAGGCTAGATTAGTTTTGCTTTATACCTGGAGTGTAAAGTTCTCCTTTATACCTAGGGTAAAGCACACCTGTATATTTATCCTTTATTCACATTACCAAATTCACATCCCTCTGTATTCTCCTGTTTTTCCACCTGGGGAGAACAAGAACAACAACAAAAAAAGTAAAAAAATGATGACTAATGTGTGTATCTGACAAGATGAAAGGGAAGGAAACACTTGCCTTAAACCTGGGCTCAAGAATTTTGAGCAATGCTTAACACAAGAGAATGATGAATGTGCTATTGGTAATTTCCACTTACATTCTTAATTTCAGTAAGTTCTAATGTCGGTTGTAACTCTTGTGCACAATCAAGATGTATCCTCACTTAGGGCAACCCAATCTTTTCTCATCCTGCATTGATACGGTTTTGTTCCTGGTACCAGTCCATAATGGGCTTCCCTGGTGGCACTAGTGATAAAGGACCCGCCTGCCAATGCAGGAGATGTAAGAGACGTGAGTTTGACACTTGGGTAGGGAAGATCCCCTGGAGAAGGAAATGGCAACCCACTCCACTATTCTTGCCTCAAGAATCTAATGGACAGAGGAGCCTGGGGGGCTACAGTCCATGGGGTTGCAAAGAGTCAGACACGACTGAAGTGATTTAGCAGCAGCAGTAGCAGCAACCAGTCCATAAAAAAAGGTGCAGTTTTGGGAATTCCCTGGTGGTCCAGTGGTTAGAATTCTGCACTCTCACTGCTGAGGGCCTGGGTTCAATTCCTGGTTGGGGAACTAAGATCCCACAAGCTGTGCGGTGTAGAAAATAAATAAATAAACAAAAGATGCAGTTTTACTTCTCGTTTTCACTCTTATTGGTGAAGCCTAAGGAGGTCTACCCTTTGCTGTGGTGGGTTTCAGCTTCGCCCTTTCAGCTCTCTGCCTGTTTTCTTTTTCAGTGGGCCACTGTCCTGACCCCTTGCTGGTGACTGATGAGTTCAGTTCCTTGAAACCTGTCAATGTGAATGACACTATCATGTTTAAATACAATGAGCATTGCATCCTCAAGGGCAACAATTGGAGCCAGTGCCGAGAAAACCACACCTGGTTGACTCACTTTCCTGTCTGCAAAAGCAGTAAGTATAAGAGAAAAGAGTGAAAATCCCAAAGACACTGATCAGCAGTGAAAATCTAGACATTTGCCACAAATCCACAGCACTATTCTCTTTCTTGTATCTGGGGGGAGGGTTTTAGGATCCAGCAGGCAATCAAGAAAGAGCCAAGCCTCAACTCAAGCAATGCATTCTAATGAAATGATTAACACCCAACAATAATCCCCCTGAAGTAGGATTCCTGTGCTAGTAGGTCTAAAACAGGGTAGTTTGGGACATCTGACTATGTTTTTGTGAAATTTAAAGATTAACCAATAACTTTTCTTGAAAGATACACAAAACAGGGAAAAAACCAAATTCATTGCAAAATTACATAAAATAAATTTGAGCATATTTTCTTTGTCAGTACAAGTCATAGCTCTTGGAGATAATTGGTTGGATGTGTTTAATGACTTTTTCTTCTGTTTACACAGATATTTAAATAAATGCACACACACATGAACAGACATTTGTTGCTGTTCAGTCGCTCAGTTGTGTCTGACTCTTTGAGACCCCATGGACTGCAGAACACCAGCCTTCCCTGCCCTTCACCAACTCCCGGAGCTTGCTCTAACTCATGTCCATTGAGTTGGTGATGCCATCCAACCATCTTGTCCTCTGTCATTCCCGTCTCCTCCTGCTTTCAATCTTTCCCCATATCAGGGTCTTTTCAAATGAGTCAGTTCTTCCTATCAGGTGACCAAAGTATTGGAGTTTCAGCTTCAGCATCAGTCCTTCCAATGAACATTCAGGACTGATTTTCTTTAGGCTTGGCTGGTTGCATCTCCTTGCAGTCCAAGGGACTCTCAAGAGTCTTCTCCAACACCACAGTTCAAAAGCATCAATTCTTCAGTGCTCAACCTTTGTGGTCCAACCCTCACATCCATACTTGACTATTGGAAAAACCGTAGCTTTGATTAGATGGACCTTTGTCTGCAGAGTAATGTCTCTGCTTTTGAACATGCTGTCTCAAGGAGCAAGCGTCTTTTAATTTCATGGCTGCAGTCACCATCTGAAGTGATTTTGGAGCCTAAGAAAATTAAGTCTGTCACTGTTTCCATTGTTTCCCCATCTATTTGCCATGAAGTGATGGAACTGGATGCCATGATTTTTGTTTCTTGACTGTTGAATTTTAAGCCAGCTTTTTCACTCTCCTCTTTCACTTTCAACAAGAGGCTCTTCAGTTCTTCTCTTTCTGTCATAAGGGTGGTGTCATCTGCATGTCTGGTTCCAACTGTTGCTTCTTGACTTACATTGTACAGGTTTCTCAGGAGGTTGGTAAGATGGCTTGGTATTCCCATCTGTTTAAGAATTTTCCAGTTTGTTGTGATCCACATAGTCAAAGGCTTTAGCATAGTCAATGAAGAAGTAGGTGTTTTCTGGAACTCTCTTGCTTGGAATCTATGCAATCTTGCATGGAATCTATGATTCTATGGATGTTGACAATTTGATTTCTGGTTTCTTTACCTGTTCAAAATCCAGATTGAACATATGGAAGTTCTCTATTCATGTATTGTTGAAGCCTAGCTTGAATAGTTTTGAGCATTACCTTGCTGGCATGTGAAATGAGTGCAACTGTGTGGTAGTTTGAACATTCTTTGGCATTGCCCTTCTTTGGGCTTGAAATGAAAACTGACCTTTTCCAGTCTTGTGGCCACTGCTGAGTTTTCCAAATTTGCTGGCATATTGAGTGCAACACTTTCACAGCGTCATCTTTTAGGATTTGAAATAGTTCAACTGGAATTCCTTCAACTCTGTTAGTTTTGTTCGTAGTGATGCTTTCTAAGGCCCACTTGACTTCACATTCCAGGATATCTGGATCTAGGTGATCACACCATCATGATTATCTGAGTCATGAAGATATAGTTCATGAAGATATAGTTTTTGTATAGTTCTTCTTTGTTTTCTTGCCACCTTTTCTTAATATCTTTTGCTTCTTTTAGGTCCATACCATTTCTGTCCTTTATTTTGCCCATCTTTGCATGAAGTGTTCCCTTGGTATCTCTAATTTTCTTGAAGAGATCTCTAGTCTTTCCCATTCTGTTGTTTTCCTCTATTTCTTTGCACTGATCACTGAGGAAGGCTTTCTTATCTCTCCTTGCTGTTCTTTGGAACTCTGCATTTGGATGGGTGTGTCTTTCCTTTTTTCCTTTGCCTTTCACTTCTCTTCTTTTCTCAGCTGTTTGTAAGGCCTCCTCAGACAACAATTTTGCCTTCTTGGATTTCTTTTTCTTGGGGATGGTTTTTTTTTTTTTCATTTATTTTTATTAGTTGGAGGCTAATTACTTTACAATATTGTAGTGGTTTTTGTCATACATTGACATGAATCAGCCATGGATTTACATGTATCTGCAGATGGTTTTTATCACTGCATCTTGTACAGTGTTACAAACCACATATTTACCTACAACGATGGTATTTGGTTATATATATTTTTGAAATAGCTTTATTTTTTCATATAACAGTATATATGGAAACTTTTTCAGATCAGTATGTAAAGCTCTGTCTCCTACTTTTTAACTGTATGTCGTTATGCCGTCTCTCATATTGATGAACGTTTATCTTATTTCTATAGTTTTGCTTTACAGTGGTGAAATGAATGTATATATATATGTGTGTGTGTGAGTGTATATACACATAAAACTTTATGCTATTCTTTCTACAGGATAGACTCCTAGAGTGATTGGTGAGTCACATGATATCATCATTTGCTAAATATATGTAAAAAATCCAAGTAATTCTATTATTTACTAAAACCTTTATTCTTGGTTACAAAATAAATATTGAAAAATCAACAGTTTCACTTTCTGGTAATAACTATTAGATAAATATTGAAATATTTCATTATATTTAGAATAATTTAATAAATTATTCCATGTAAAAATAATTCCATTCATGAGACCTCTATGAAAATTTTCCAAAGAGCAGAAAAGAAGGTATGAATGAAAGAAAAGATCCCAGACACACAGACTCAGTATTACAATGCAATCCTAACCAGAACTTTCAATTTAAAAATAAGAAACAAAAAATTAATTTAAAAATCTCATTTGGAATGGTACATATCCGACACTGCAACATTTAATTCTTTATTTCAACACTTCATGTTTTAGAGCAGTTTTAGGTTTCTAATAAAGTTGAGAGGAAGATCCAGAGATTTCCCCTGCTGCTCCCACACCCACACATGCACAGCTTCCCACCCATTATCAACATCACTCACAGAGTGGTGCATTTGTGGTAACTGACACATCGTTATCACTCAAAGTCCATAGTTTACCTAAGAGTTCACTGTCAGTATTATACATTCAATGGATTTGGACCAGTGTATAATAACACATGTACATCATTATAACCTCATGTGGAGTAGTCTCACCACCCTAAAAATCGTCTGTGCTCTGCTTATTTATCACTTTACTCCCCCACCCTTCTCAACCACTGATCTTTTTGTTGTTTCTGCATTTTTGCCTTTTTCAGAATGTCCTATAGTTAGAATCATACATTTGTAGCCTTTTCAGATTGGCTTCTTTCACTTAGTAACATCCATAAGTTTCCTCCATGTTTTTCATGGCTGATAGCTCATTTCTTTTTAGTGCTGAATAATATTTCTGGATGTACCACTGTTTACTTATCCATTCACTTTCTGAAGGACATCTTGGTTTCTTCCAAGTTTGGGCAATTATGAATAAAGCTGCTAAAAATATCCATGTGAAGCTTTTTGTATGGATGTAAGTTTTCACCTCCTTTGGGAGTTGGAGTGTATGATTGATCAGCATACATTTAGTTTTTTGAGAAACCACCAAAATATCTTCCAAAGTGACTCTACCATTTTGCATTCCTATCAGCAATGTATGAAAGATACTGTTGCTCCAAATCCTTCCTAGCGTTTGGTGTTGTCAATGCTCCAGAATCTGACCATTCTAATAGATGTGCAATGGTGTCTTGTTTTAATTTATATTTCCCTGACATATGATGTAAAGCATCTTTTCACATGCCATCTGTACATCTTTGGGGAGGTGTCAATTCAGAACACTGTTGTTCCTCAGTCAACTCATTGCAATTCTTCTTTCTTTCTTCCACATAACTTTGAACTCAGGTTTTGATCTTTTGAAAATTATGTATTAATAGCTCAAGCAATACACCTCTGTTGTAGAAAAATATAGAAGATAAAAGAAGAAAATATTTAATTACCTACAGATCTACCACTCTAGAATAACAGAGTACTTTGGTATATAATTTTCAGACTTTGTTTTCTATTCATATATGTTGGTGTTTTTTTTTACAAATATAGTATTATATTACACATGCACTTTCATGCTTTGGTGTTTTAGTTATCTTTATGTTTCAAAGACCTTTATTTTTCAATAAACATACCTACATAATTACTATTAATTTAGCCATTAATCTTGACCAACATGTTTAGACTCATGTAATCTCAGAAGTGAAAGGGACGTTAGTGATAATATTATTTAGCCTGCTCATCTTATAGATTAAGGAGGAAGCCGAGAAAGATGAAAAGGCTTGTTTCATGCTGTGCGGTTAGTGGAAGGACCAAAAACAAAGCTCATGACATCTAGTACCTTGCCCACCTCTCTCTCCACAATTTTATAGACTCACCCTCTTTCCTCCCAGTTCTGTTCTCCTTTTTTTCTGAAGCTCTCATATGGTACAACTGTCACACAGGGGCAGTCAGTCTCCATCTGAGCTCACTCTATTTATCTACTGTTTCAAGTGTTCTTCCATCTCTACCTATAGTCTAATTTTTCTCTTCTTGGCCACTGACAGTTAGCATCTCTACAACTTAACTTTTCTTTCCTCAAATCCTGCCAGTCAGAAAGTACTTTCAGATCGCTAATGACGCAGAGAATGAGTCAGGGTGGGGAGTCTTTCCCATGGGCAAGTATAATTTCAACCAGAACAAAACAAATGGAGAACATGTTGAGGTCCCACATGGGCTGCTCTGAAGATGGTGGGTGCTGGCCTAGACCATTGCACTGCAGTGGCTGGTGGCGTCCTCTGAGCATTATTCTAGGAATGCTTCACAGCTGTCATCCTTATAATCCTGTCTATCAGGAGACTGTGGCCCTCCTGAGACTCCAACTCATGGCTATTTTGAAGGAAGAGATTTCAAGTCAGGATCTACCATCACTTATTACTGTGAAGCAAGGTAAGTGTACTGCACACTTCTAAACATAAGACTTTGCCCATTGACTGGTAGCCTTGCTTCAGAAATGCCCCAGTCTGTCTCAACCTTGTCTGTTGATTACCAAGCACATTCTGATTTTGAGAGCTGCTTTACCCACTGCCAGGTCTCCCCAAGTTCTAGAAGACAGCCTAACTCTCCTATTTATCCTGATTTATGTATCACTTTCTTTTCTCTTAGCTAAGACAAAATGGAATGTTTAAAATGTATGTTTTTCTAAAGAATAGCAGAACAAAAAACTAAACAACTCCCCCCCCCCCACAGAAGATATGAAAGTACAGAAATAGAATTATTTAGATCCTAGCTGTTAGTGTTTAATCTCTAAGTCGTGTCCAACACTTCATGACCCCATGGACTGTAGACCGCCAGGCTCCTTTCTCCATGGGACTTCCCAGGCAGGAATATTGGAGTGGGTTGCCATTTCCTGCTCCAGGGGATCTTCCTGGACCAAGGATTGAACTCGTGTCTCCTGCATTGACAGGCAGATTCTTTACTGCTGAGCTACCATAGAAGCCCTTAGGACATCATAATTAAAGTCTAGCCTTAACTTGGACTGCCTGGTCACGCCCTTAATGATCTCCTAGCCTTTTCTTTTTCTGGCCTCAATCTTAACCCAGAGTCATGAGGCCTCACAGGCATTTCTATCTCCAGTGGCTTTTGCCATCAACTCTCCTGTTTTTCTGGTTGAAAGCTGAGTCTCCTTTTAAGCCAGTTCACCAAGATTTATTTGAAAGCTGTTTCTAGCTTTCTACTGCTTTTTGGAGTATAGATGACAGTTGATTTTAAAAATTACTGAATGATGAAGCTTCTTCCCTTACCCTCCCCACCCCAAACTGTGTGCTTAAAAACACATATTTAGAATTTTTCATTTCTCCATATCTTACACGCTGATATATATCTTGGGTCCTCTCCATCCCCAGGAGAGTGGTTTTACTTTACGATTGCTGTGTAATACTGAGATAACTTAAGAATGCATTAGAACTCTGGGGCAGGAAAGTAGATTTTAGTATTTCTATTTCACAGTGTGAAATACTATTACATAAAACCAACTTTAGTTGCCCAGTTCAAGAAATGGAAGGCTAAAAGTTGTTTCCATTTCACCTTTTGTCCAGGTACCGCCTGGTGGGCACACAGCACCAACAGTGTATCGATGGGGAGTGGACCAGTACCCCTCCCATCTGTGAGTTGATCCAAGAAGCTCCCAAACCAGCCGAGTTAGAGTTGGAGAAGGCATTTGTAAGTAGTGGGCTCTTTTCTGTCTTATTCACATTGGCGCTTCCAGGGTTCATTTGCAATGCCTTTGAATGGGCTGATCTTGGCCTGTTTGTAGAGTGGGACTCATAAACTATTAACTCATTATTTTGTGCATGAGTTCCAAATTCTCCACCATCACCATGAATGTCTCATGAAGCTCTGTTGGTAAGAGTTGTTGTCTCATGTGCTTTAAAGAGCAAGATACATAATTTCATGTCTTAGGCTTGGAAGTATTGCTATGAAAAGTCTCTAAAATTTTTCCAGACTTTAAAAAAAATCACAGAAACACTGAAAGATCTGTTTTCATTGAGACTCCTCTCTTTCTGTTGTTGTTGGTTAGTTGCCAAGTCACATCCAACTCTTTGAGACCCCACGGACTATGTAGCCCACTAAGGTCCTCAGTCCATGGGATTTCCCAGACAATAATACTGGAGTTGGTTGCCATTTCCTTTTCCAGGGGATCAAACCGACATCTCTTGTGTTTCCCATTGGCACGTGAATTCTTTACCACTGAGCCACCAGGGAAGCCCATCTCCTCTCTTAGTGTATATTTATTACTGGGATGATGAGTAAACTTAAATCTCTAAATTTTATTTTCTGAAAATAAAAAATGACCCTAAGGGCAGACAGTGGTACCTTCCCCCAAGACGCACCTAATTGCAAGGTTTTATATGTATCTCTGTGTCCCTGTGGGAGGAGAGTGACACTTGGCAGCATCCTGGAAGGGGCTTAGGCAGTCCACAGCCATCCTGAAAATTTAGATGATTCAGCATATTGAAGACCCAGATTCCCACTGAAGCCTTCATTTGGGACCTAAACACCACTCATTAACTTCTGAGGGTAGCACTGGGTCTCAGTTCTTAAACTGTAACTTAAAAAGGTGTTTTTTCTTCAGCTTGCCTTTCAGGAGAGTAAGGAACTTTGCAAAGCCATAAAGAAATTTACACAAAGATTAAAGAAAAGTGATTTAACAATGGAGAAAGTAAAATATTTTCTGGAAAGAAAGAAGGCCAAGTTGAAGGCAAAAATGTTGCCCTGACCTTGTAGCTGAGCAGACTGGGTAATAGAAATACTCCCATGAATAAAATTTTCTCTTGGTTCTGAAATTGGTTTCAGATTTTTCTCTCTTTGGACCAAAATGCAAATTCATAGTAACCAGCTGCAGTTGTATAATACACTGTGCGTGTGTGTGTGTGTGTGTGTGTGTGCACGTATGTGTGTGGAAAGTAGAATGACCAAGTGTGGTGATTGTTTAAGACCAGAATTAACAATGTATTAATGGATGTAAAGCCACAAGGCTTCCCTGGTGGCTCAGTGGTAAAGAATCCGCCTGCAATGCAGGAGACCTGGGTTCGATCCCTGGGTTGGGAAGATCCCTTGGAGAAGGGAATGGCAACCCACTCCAGTATTTTTGCCTGGAGAATTCCATGGACAGAGAATACCATGGCAGAGGAGCCTGGCAGTCTACAGTCCTTGGGATTGTAGAGTTGGACACGACCGAGTGACTGACACTCTCACTTCAAAGAAGAGGGAAGGGTTTAATTTTCTGTCTAAAAGAGGATGGGAAGCTGAGATCACAGCTAAGGTATAAGGTATTTATTTTTTTGGCTGCACTGCATGACTTGTGGGATCTTAGTTCCTTGAATAAGAGTTGAACCCTGGCCCTCCACAATGAAAGCGTGGAGTCCTAACTGCTGGACTGCTAGGGAATTCCCACCTCATGTTTCAATATGAAATGCAAATGATGAGGCAAAAATTAACCTCAAATTAACCAAAACTTATGAGGCAAAAATTAATGTCTTATTTTAGGAAAATAGGTTCAGCATAGTTATATCATATCAAAACAAAAGAATTAAAACCCAAAGTCTTGCTTGGGTCTCCCCAACATCCTGTTTTTAAAACAGGGCTTCCAAATCTTCTGCAGTAACATTGCTTACTGCCTTTTGGATGAAACTTAGATGTATATGGTCAATTTGAGATGCTGCAAAACATATGAAAATATTATTCTTTTTTCAGAGGGTGGAAGAAATAGGAATCCTAAGGCTTTCTTGCCAACATTTTATACTGATCTGATATGACCAGCTTTTTCAGTCTCTCACTCCGATCTCTGTAGGAAACATGTAGGAACTCTGGGTAGGATACAAACCAAAATACAGAAGAGAGTTGGTAACCACTAGTTTGTTCTCTATAACTGTGAATTTATTTCTGTTTTATTGTATTCATTCATTTGTTTTAGTTTTTAGATTCCATATACAAGTAATAACATAGAGTGTTATAGTCTTTCTCTGCCTGACTAATTTCACTAAAGCATAATACCCTATAGGTCCATCCACATTGTTGCAAATAAAGTAATAAACTTTTTAACCAAGTAAATCCACAGCTAGGATTAAAATAACTTGACCAAAATTATTTTAAATTTTAAGTTGTTCATTATATTATTGCCTATATTGTCTACGTAGCAACTAGCAAGACCTTGTGAGCTTTAGAAATGTCCAATCTAAGGAAAATTTTTAAGAATTAGGATACATCAAATGTAATGCAGTCTTTTGCAGTGATAATTATGGACAGAAAATTTTAAAAATATAATCTTATAATCCTTAAAAATAAAATACAGAAGAGCAAGTACTTATAATTGCATTTATATAAAACCTTTATTCTTACAGAAAAGGACCAAGCAATAATAAGTGCAGATGAAAACAGTTGTCTTAGAATGGTAAAATTCTCTTCAAGTTCTTTAATGTTTTATATTTAATTTTAATATTAATTTTTAAAAAAGGTGGTGCAATGAGGCAAGAAGGGTGGAGCATGTTAGGGTAATCTGCATAGCCTCAATAAAGCGTGAGAGGTAATGAGAGAGAGGGAAAGACACGTTAAAGCCAGTTTATGGAGAATTTTAAAGGTCAAGTTAGAAAATTTGAAGTTTATTTTGTAGATAGTGAGTAGAGATGGAAAACTGTCAAGCAAGGCAGTGCTAAGGACAGAACACAGATTTCTCTCCCAACAGTATGCTGTGGAGGTAGAGCAGGAAAAGGACTGAGACAGAAGCCAAAGAAAAGGCCACAGCAGTAGTCACCTAAGAGGCAGTAGAAACCTGAGCCAGTTTGGCATTAGAAATAGAAAAGAAACAGCAGATTTGAGAGACATTGTGAAATCAAAACAACTTGTCAACTCATGAACATTGGAGGATGAGGGGAGGAAGGGTTTAAAGGTGAGTCTGAAATTCCATTCCGGGAAGCCTGAATTAATCTTGTGGTCAGAAGGTGAAGTTTCTGGGCAGGAAACGAGAAGTTCTTCCTTGTTGAGTATAAAGGTGCTTATAAGATTTCTAATGGGCAATAAAAAATATCAGTTTGAGTTCCAAAGAGAAATGAAAGATAAAGGTGTATTATGGGGTAGTCCCTACAGGGAACAGTTAAAGCCATGAGAACAGGAAAGATAAAAAGATGTAAAGAGTCCAAAAGTCTGTTCTATACATCTGTGTCTAAAGAGAAACATTTTAAAAAGAAGAACTTGGGATGTATCTGCATTTGGGGGTGAAAAGTAGGAAGAGGAGGTAATAACAAACAGGAAAGGACAGTTAATGAAATAGGGAAATCAGGAAAGTTTAGGGTAATGGCAGGTGAAGGAGAAGCTTCAGAAAGGAGGTGATCCGCAGTGTTAGAGGCTGCTGAGAAGCCAAAGTGGATGAGTTAAAGAAATTTTGGATTTGGAGACAAGGGCACATGTCACAGAGGTGTGTCGGTAGAGTGGGCGGAAGCCAGATTGGAGACCACGGTGGGGGGGATGAAGAGATTGTAGAGAAAAAGTGGGCTTGAAAATAGGAGGTTCTTTTGAGAAGTTCAACATCTCACAACAGAAGAAAACTTGAATTTGAGACTTGGTAAGACTGAGGGAACATTTCAGGATGACACACAGTGAAAATAAGGAAGGAAAGAAAATAAATCTCTTCTGACACAAGAGTAAATAGGGAAGACAATTTGAGGAAGAGAGAAGCTAATGTGGAATGATTTCTTAGTAAAGTAGGAGGCAAGATTATTTGCTGAGAGTAAGACAATTTGGTGAACTGGAGAGAAAAATTTGGAACAGTCACTGTGGAAAGTAAAGAAAAGGACTCAGACTGAGAAATGGAATTTGATGACCCAGCTTTAAAGGTTATATTTCCTCTAACTTCATTGTCAAGACTGCATAATTTTGGGTCCTCTTTTATTCTCAGTTCAGATTGGTCGCTCAGTTGTGTCCGACTCTTTGCGATCCCATGGACTACAGTACACCAGGCTCATTTTTGTTAAATCAGCAAATCAACTTCACTTTTGTGACTTGGCCTGTGTCCTCTCTCTCTCTCTTTCTGTTTTTGGCCCCACCACATGGCTTGCAGGATCTTAGTTCTCTAACCAAGGATTGAACCTGGGCCCTGGCAAAGTGCTGAGTCCTAACCTCTGGTTGCTCTTATTCAGTCACCCAGTTGTGTCTGACTCTTTGCAACCCCATGGACTACAGCCTCACTATCCCTCAGGCCTCCCTATCCCTCTCTGGGAGTTTGCCTAAGTTCATGTTCATTGCATCAGTGATGCCGCCCAACCATCTCATCCTCTGATGCCCTCATTCCTTCTGCCCTCAATCTTTCCCAGCCTCAGGGACTTTTCCAATGAGTCATCTATTCACATCCAATGACCAAAATACTGGAGCTTCAGCTTCAGCATTAGTCTTTCCAGTGAATATTCAGGGTTGACCTTCCATAAGATTTACTGGTTCGATCTCCTTGCTGTCCAGGAGACTTTCAGAAATCTTCTCCAGCACCATAGTTCAAAGGCATCAATTCTCTGGCGCTCTGCCTTCTTTATGGCCCAACTCTCACAACCATACATGACCACTGGAAAGACCATAGCCTTGACTATATGGACCTTTGTCAGCAATGTCTCTGCTTTTCAACACACTGTTTAGGTTTATCATCATTTTCCTTCCAAGAAGCATTTATCTTCTGATTTCATGGCTGCAGTCACCATCCACAGTGATTTTGGAGACCAGGAAGAGGAAATCTGTGACTACTTCCAACTTTCCCCTTCTATTTGCCATGCAGTAATGGGGCTGGATGCTATGATCTTAGGTTTTTTGTTTTTTTTTTTTAATATTTAGTCTTAAGCCAGCTCTTTCACTCGCTTCTTCACCCTCATCAGGAGGTTCTTTGGTTCCTCTTTGCTTTCTGCTGTTACAGTGATAACATCCGCATATCCAAGGTTGTTTATGATTCTCTATCTTAATTCTGGCTTGTAACTCACCCAGTGCGCATTTCGCCTGATGTGCTCAGTGTATAGATTAAACAAACAGGGTGACAGCAGACATCCCTGTCATACTCCTTTCTCGATCTTAAACCAATCAGTTGTTCCATACTAACTGTTGCTTCTTGACCCACAAACAGGTTTCTCAGGAGACAGGTAAGATGGTCTGGTATTCCCATCTCTCTTAAGAGCTTTCCGCAGCTTGTCATGATCCACACAGTCAAAGGATTTGGCATAGTTGACGAAACAGAGATAGATGTTTTTCTGAAATTCCCTTGCTTTCTCTATAATCCAGCAAATGTTGGCCATTTGGTCTCTGGTTCCTCTTCCTTTTCTAAACCCAGCTCAGACATCTGGAAGTTCTTGATTCACATAATGCTGAGCCTAGCATGTAAGATTTTAAGCATGACCTATTAGCATGGGAGATGAGTGCAGTTGTCCGATGGTTAGCACATTCTTTAGGACTCCCCTTCTTGGGAATTGGGATGAGGATTGACCTTTTCCAGTCCTGCTGCCACTGCTGCTAAGCTCTGGACCACCAGGGAATTCCTCATTTATGTTCTCTTTACTTCTAGTATCTTTCTTATTTTCATCTAATAATTTCCACTTTTCATTCAATGCCCTGCTCAGATTTCCTATATTTTGCCAAAACCTCTTCTGTGGTTCAACTCCTTTTCTGAAAATTTTGAGATTTTGGGCACTAGTGGTAAAGAACCTGCCTGCCAATGCAGGAGGCCTAAGAGACCCAGGTTCAGATCCCTGTGTTTGGAAGCTCCCCTGGAGGAGAAAATGGCAACTCACTCCAGTATTGTTGCCTGGTGAATCCCATG